CCAGCTACTTGGGAGGCGGAGGCAGGAGACTCGCTTGAGCCCAGGAGTTGGAGGTTGCTGTGAGCGTGATGCCATGGCACTCTACCCAAGGGGATAGCTTGAGGCTCCGTCTCAAAAAAAAAACAACACAGTTGTCATACTAAGAAATAGTGTTTCTAGATTATGTCAAACATTTACAATTTTTCTATTGAAACTTTTTATATTTCTTTGAAAAAATCTCAGATTGATTCCAGTGTCCCAAAAGTTCACTCTATATTTGTGATATTCAGCTTCAGCCAATTATTGATTTTAATGCTGACCAATCAACCAAAATATATTCAGTACACTAAATATTAATAAATGTATTTTATAAAAAGAGAGGACAATAGTAACCATCAAATACAACTGTAACAATATTACATTACCTGTCTGTGAGAGGCTGGGACGGCATCCTTTTACTTAATGATGGAAGATCCAGGGAATCTGGTTTCTTATCCATTCTGCAACATGCCTGAATGTTTAAGTACTTAAAAATGTGTACTTTGCCCTTTAAACATATCTGTTAATAAATAATAAAATATACTTATGTCATTCCAAATATAGATGGCATTCATCCATTTATACTTTTTTAATTGGATCTCCAATTATGTTAAGATAGCACAATTTTGATTGATACTTTGCATATTTAAATAATTGGTGCCTCCAATACTACATGGGAAAATCTGACAATACTGATACCAACTAAAATTCTATTGCCATTTCTGTTCTTAAAATAAATTATTTTTTCTATGTGTCAGAAAGTTTTCTTGATAAAGGAAGAATGCAAACACTAAATATAAAATTTGTAATTCATGAAAGCTACCTTTATTAGAAAAAAATGAACAGAAATATATTCGTTGGAAAAGTATCAACACAGCAAATAATCTTTGTAATTCATAATGTAGTCTCATCAGAACCATTAAGATGTTTGCCACAAACATTAGAAAATTCAAATATAAAAGAATGTAAATATAGGAAAAATGAACTTGTTGAAAGGTATGATAGTAAGCTTGTTACAAAAAAATAATAAAAGATAATATTGAGGGCTCCAAGACAGGGGACTAGAGGTATCTCCTTGGCAGCCGCTCTCAGTAACATTGAATTAAAGAAACTCCAGCCACCTATACTTGGACTGCCTGGCCCAGAAAAATCATGAAGGGCACAGTGAGACAGCAGGAAGCTCCAGGATCCAAGTTCACTTCAACACTCAAACACGTAGATTAGAAAAATTAAGGGCTCGGCGCCTGTGGCTCAAGCAGCTAAGGCGCCAGCCACATACACCTAAGGTGGCGGGTTCGAATCCCCAGCCCAGGCCGCCAAACAACAATGATGGCTGCAACCAAAAAATGGCCAGGCATTGTGGTGGGCGCCTGTAGTCCCAGCTACTTGGGAGGAAGAGGCAGGAGACTCGCTTGAGCCCAGGAGTTGGAGGTTGCTGTGAGCGTGATACCATGGCACTCTACCCAGGGGGATAGCTTGAGGCTCCGTCTCAAAAAAAGAAAAGAAAAATTAAGGAGGCAGATGAGAGAGGAGAAAGAAGGGGAAAGAAGTGAACAAGCAGAAAATGCTAGAAGAGGAAACAATTAAAAAAATTCTGGCAACATAAAAAACTCGAACACATCAACTTTCCTAAGGGATAACAAAGCAGTTACCACATAGGATCCCACCTATAACAAAATTACAAAATTATAGAAAGGGAATTTAGAGTATGAATGGCAATAATAAAGGGAATTGAAGGAAAAGTGGATAACAACCAGAAAGGAAATCCAAAAGTAGACCCAAGAAATGAATGAAAGACATAATGAAATTAGAAAGGTTATATCATAGCTTAAGGAATTAAAAAAGTCATTCAGGGAACTTAAAGATGCAATACAAAGTTTAAATAACAGATCAAACCATAGAGAAGAAAGAATCTCAACTCAGGCATTTAAAGAGGCAGAAAAGTAGAGAATAAAAAAGCAGAGCAATCTCTTAGAGAATTATGATACCTCACAAAGTGTACAAATATACAAATTATAGGTATCCCTAAAGAAGATTAAACAGTCAAAGGCATGAAAGCCCTACTGGAAGATATCATAACTGAAAATATCCCAAGGACCACCAAAGATCACACACCTTTTTAGAGGAATATCAAACTCTAGTTTCATCTCAATTTAAACAGAGCATCTCCAAGACAAATTGTAAGGAACCTGGATAAGGTAAAAATGAACAAAAAAATTCTACAGGCTCAGCACCTGTGGCTCAAGTGGCTAAGGCGCCAGCCACATACACCCAAGGTGGCGGGTTCAAATCCAGCCTGGGGGCTCGGCGCCTAT